TTCAGCAGACCGTTGGCTCTTTCATACTACCACTGAAGTCTTGGTCATACAAGGAACATGCACCCAACTTTAAAGAAGGCCAATCTGATATTTATCATGCCAGGTAAACATTATGCTGTTCCTCTGTCTGATGTCATCACTATGCATCACACCTGAAAACCTGAATTCAGCACTAGTAAAATAGCTTCTATCCATTCTCTTTTTTCTAATTAAGTGCTTCATTGTTTGGGTCATTTTATAAGTAATGGTCCTTGATCCACTTCAGAGAATGACTCCTCTCCAGAATTTCATAGTGTAATCCAACATGCACTACTCAAGAAACGTAAATTTGAAACTCATATATCTTGATTTACAAGTGCATAGTCAATGATGAGTGGTATGTGAAACAAGATCCTAACCAAGAAAACAGAAATGCCTATTGTGCATTTCAATCAAGAAAATTTATGTGCCCGTAAAACTGTCAGCACTGAGAACTCAATCTTAAATATGATTGCCAATAATTGATGCCTCTTTTTGAATTATTTTGAATCTCTTCCCCTGCAAAACCTTTTTTGAAGCTTTAATACAAAATTAAATTTAAGAGAGACATTTCATCAGGGTTTGCCTCTGAAGCCCAGAAATGTCAAAGCAGCATGTGTCACTGTAGACATTCATATTCCGCAACAGCTGTCTTGCTGCTGCACGTACTTCTAGGAGAGGTTAACTGTGGTTTTAATTTAGAATGAAATGAAACTCTCTTTTAAAAACTCAGTAATTAATTCCTTACACAATCCACCCCACACATTTAGCTGACACATCTGTTTGTGCAGCTGAATATCAAACAAGATCAGGGAAGGATCTAGCCAAAAATAACCCAGGTGAAAAACAGTGATTTTCAGCCAGTTTATTTCCCTGATGCAATCTACCACACTAACTGCTGTATTCATGAAGAAGGGAAGGTGGTGGTTTACGCTTCAAGGAAACTATCAGGGGTATTGAGAAAAAAACAAGTAAAACAGCCCAAGAGAAGCTTCTACCATTCTCCATGCACTAGCTTGAAATGACAGGGATTCCAGGATTATTTCCCTTTAAAAGATTCCAGGTTCTACCTAATTAGATAGGTAGCATACACTATTCCATACCAGAATGGAACTGAACCTCAAGTCTGGCTTTCTCATGTTTAAACATTTGTATTTAGTGCCTTAATAATCATCTTTATAAATCTGTATACAATATCTAAATTTTTGTAGGTTTTTCTTAACAGGCATGCCATGAATGTAAGGGAGAATATCCATTTGAGAAGGTTTAGAAAGGAATACAATTTCATCATTATAAGTTATCTCAGAAAGTAAAGATAAACAAAGACTGCATGTAAATCACTGCCTTGAGACAAAGACAACAGCTCATGCAGTTCAGAAGAAAAGAAAATGATAGAATAAAATTTGTGATTAAGCTGTCACTGTAAGCTGTGATGACACACACACAAGCTCACACCTATATTTTCTTCAAGCCTCTGCTTTATATAATAACAATTACATTATTCACATAAAATAATACTGTTCTTTGGAATTTTCAGTTTTCACATTATGATCATTTTCCCAGACAAAAATCTGCTATTTGACATTCCATCCTCACAAGTACAACTTCTCAACACTACAAATACCTTGCAAACCTATGGAAGGCAAGGTCTATGCAACTCAAGCATGCACTTCCCCTCCCGTTACCTCTTCAAGAATTTCCAAAAAACAAATGAAAGGAAATGCAAATGTGGAGCAATTTATTTGTTCCTCAAGTTGTGGTATTTTGGTTGAAAACTTACTGCAGCACTACAGCCTGGGAAGTTGAAAAAGGTATCGGGCCCATGTCTCTGTGGCATCTGATTAAGGACTGATAATAGTTTAACTGCATGTCTTGGCTGTGAAAATAAGAAAATTGCACAAAAGTCAATACAATCGTTTTTGTACTCTCTAGGCTACAACAGAAACTGAACGGTTTTCAAACAACACAGCAAATTAACTCTAAAGTAGTTAGCAAAAATACTTCATAAACATATGCTCAATTGACATGAAAAAAAAAAATCAAGTTTATATGTCCCAGGAGACAATTTATGTTAACTTCAGGCTCTAATGGAATGACACTTAATGCTTTATCTGCTCACAGCTTACCCAGATTCCATTTTCGCCTCGAAGCATGCTGAACAAAAGCTTCAACTCTCTGACAGTGATGCTGTAGCTGGCAAGAACCCCCAACATATCAACTAGAAGATCTTCAAAGGAAAATAAAGTTATTCTGAACTCTGAATTTCATTGTTTTAACAAAAAAAGCTGAAAAAGTTAATTCCTTTAAAAGTAAGTGTATTCATAAATTCTTAAAATTAAACTTAGTTGCCTTAAATATTTTACAAAGGATTTCATATTCTCATTGTTTCAGTTATATTAAAAAAATACATGTGCAGTTTTTGATCTTGCGTGACAGTTTGAACGGATATATTAAATTTGTGATGAATTAATTCTTCCCCTTTCACAACACTCATCATACATTATGATCTTATTGTTTGCTCCTTTCTGTTACATACTTTAGAGATAACAGTTTCTTCATTCCTCTGACGTTATTATTTCTCAAAAAATTCTGACCTAAAAGGTGCCTGACATTGTTCTTTAACTTAAGCACAGTACATTATACTGAGAATTTGTATGGGTCCCACAGTTTGTTACACTGATAGTGCTTCAAATTTTTACCAGAATGAAAGTCCAGGAAAACAAACAAACAAACAATCAAACAAACAATACCACAAAAAAACCTCATAGTGAGAAACCAATATAAGATCACATAAAAAGAAGTTATCAAAATTGCTAACAAGTTTAGGTAATACAGCTTTCATTAAAGCATCTCAAAACCCTCAAAACTTTTAAAGTAATAGCATTACATAGCTTGCCTTTCAGAGAATGTCGGGTTTAAAATTACCAGTGTTCAGATCTTTATTTTAAAACACAGGATTTCATTTTAAGGCTTTGGTAGTTTGTGGGATGACAGACCTTGCCTTATACTGCACACTTTCTCCTGGAATAAAACACTCCACTAAGACTTACTGCTTCCTCTAGCAGGAGGAAAAACAATGTGCTTATGTTCACAGATGTGGCATAAGAAATTTAATTCAGAGATCAAGCAGTGAAGTACAGAGTTTCCAAAACTAAAAAGCTATGCCACAATAGAATCAGCATTAATAAACTTTTTCAATATGCTCAACAATCAGAAAATTCCCCTCACAAAGACATTAACAAGTCTATATCTTATTTGCAGGACTATATCCTCTCCTTATTCATCAGTGAAAGGATGACTCTTGCAGGTGCTGACAAAGAGGAGTCTTAAACAGCATCCATCCCTTTCCAGAACATTTCACATTGATATTTCATTTTAAAACAAATTTATCTCTGCAAATCCCTGTTTTTGAGTAAAACCATCAACATATATTTAACTTGTTCCACCATGAAACCCATCTCTGGTCCTCAGTAAGCCAAAGGCACATGTAAAGAATGAAACACAATTTAATTTACAGAAGACACAGTAAGCTGTTCAGTGAGTGAAACTGCATGTAAGGAAAGTCAAAAGAAAAACACTGTAATGTGCAGACAATTTCACCATAAGATATGAATATGTTCATAATGTTCAAGTACAGATATTTTTTTCTCCTTTCTTTAAAGGAAGAATTTATTTAATCTTCCTTTTGAAATTAGTGCCACATTATATTTGTGATAGAATTTCTTAAGGGAAAGGTAAAAAAGCCAAGAAAACTAAAACTCCTTGTCTATTACGATGGTGAATTCTATGACTCAGCTCCTTCTGTAGTACCTACAAACATCTGCACCCTTCACTATACAGTCTCCAGCCAGCAATGTGAAGCTGGCAATGATTGCACATCTTGTATGTGATCAGAAACTGAGAACAGTAACACACTGAAAACTCAGAAAGGGAAATCAGCACAAGTGAATACTAATCTTGGGAAATTCACAGCCTAATTCTTGTTTTGTAGTCTTAGCTTGCTTTTTACATCAAACTACTTCAAATTTTCCTTCTTTTACGTAAAAAAAGTGTTGTGTAGAAGCAAAGTTGTTTGCTGAAAACCAGAACATCATTAAAATAAACCTAATATTGATAACAAATGTGTAAATTAATACAGTGAAACACAGGAATGATTAGCAGGTTTTTAAAATTACTGAACATGTGCTGCTTTGTTTCATTGTTATAGCCCTGTACCACCTTATGGCACAGAATATTTCTTATTTCTGCTGAAGATGTTGATAACCTACAGGCATTAGAAATACATATTTATAAATAATGAATAAAACATTGATGGAGAGAAATAAATGTAAGCTCTGTAACAACATAACTCTGGGTAAAACAAAGACCTGAAAGATTGAAGCCCAGTAGGTAACAAGTAAAGATAAAGCAAATAACATTTGTGGAAGTTGAAGCACTTATTGCTGTAAACATACTGCTGTAAACATCTCTAAAGAAGGTTTGTTTCTTGTTTCAATATAACAAGACTTAAAGAGAGCTGTACTTTATTATTTAACTTCATTCTTACTTATTAGAAATCTCATATAAAAGTCAGTCCACATCTTGTTTATAAATCCAAATAGTCCATTTATCTGTAAATGGACAAAGGTCAGAAAACATAGTACAATTGGGTTTTATTAATTCATTTTTTATATTAAAGAAGATCATATATATAACTGGTATCTATGATCTCATTTCAGATACAAGATTGTGTGAAATAATTTTAAGTCTGAAGGAGAAAACAGGCACAGTTTCTCATTTTTAATGCATTTCTTAAATGCACTGAATGCAACAGACTTTAATTCTGTTAATGGCACCTTCTGACTACTTTCATACTAAGCAGTTTATATATAATCTATAAATTAACCAGAACCCTTGAAGGAATGCTTAATTGAGCCATTTAATATGAAAATACAGTGGTAAAAGAGACTGCCTGTCTTTCAAGTTACAATAAGCATATATCAAAATTAATGTTATGGCATTAACTTTAGAAGATGTATTAAACAGCATTGGAAACACAACTTCAGGAAAACAACCCTTATGCCTCCTTAACCTTTTAATAACAGCCAGCCATTAAATTGTGAGTTTTAACTCTGTTGGTGATGTTATTCTGTGTTGGTGAAGTAATTTCTACAGGCCCCTAATATTTTTCCTTAAAAACTTCGAACTGTTTAGGTGCTGAAGAATTCAGTTCCACCAATTTTAGAAAAATTGCCTACAGCATCACAACAGAACTGTGGGAAATAAAGTGGGGTTCGAGGGAGACATAGCCACTCTGTACTAGTTCAGACTACTTTCTCATCCACAACTCAGACTTCTCTGAAGACACACTACCTCTCAGAGCAGGTGATCTGTTTCACTACTCATCACATGGAAATACAGAACTGTAAAAAGTGAATCCCTCAAGGAAGATCCTGTGTAGCTGTTAAAAAAAAACAAACGCTAATCGCCTATGCAAATATTTTAGTAACCTTTTCCCCTTAACCACTGATAAAATGGCTGACCATCTCCTAACTTAGTATATCATATTATCAGAATACAAAGATGACTTCTGACAGGTGATGCTTCTGAAAAGTAAATTGGAATACAAGTGGCAATGATCCCAGTTGGACTGCAACTGAGACTTTAAAGGTAATTAAGCTTGAATTTGCAGTATATCAGGAAGTGAGATACTTAAAGTGTTGAGAAGCCTCATGAATCTGATCATTTCATCTAAACAGACAGCCTTTTTCTCACTGTGAAAGACTGGGTATATGTTTATTTGCTGTTGTCTTACTTTCATAAAACCACAGAAGAGTGGTTTCAGACTTAGACTGGTCCTGAAAGCATGCTGTCAGAACATAAAACAGATATTATGCCTATCTTGTCTATTTAAACCTTATCTAGGTCTAATCACAGCATTCCACAAAGGAACAAGTGAGATGACCTAAAAACAAACAAACTCCTCCCAAAACAAACAAGAGAAAAAAACAGAAAACCTGTACCCTTTAAAGATGATAAAAGCCAATTGCAAAACACTAGGCTGACAAAGTATCAAACTGCTTTGGGACGAACATGATACAGAATTCCTAGGAGTAAGCACAGGCCTTGTTCAGAACATCCCCTCTGAATGTTAAAAATAATTTTGTCACAAAATTCTTACTTCATTCTTGAAAGTTCATAGAAATATTTGGTGTAAAGCAGTTCTACAGTCATCTGGTGTCAACAATGACCTCAACATCTGCAGAGCACATTAGGGAACACAGATTACAGAACACTGCATTAGTTGTCACTGATTTTGTCACCAAGTGCCTACCATTGAACTAGTTATTACGATTTATTGCTTCTGACTTATTACCAACATTGTTTCCATTTATAAAAGCATGGTGGAGATGCTTGCAGAAATCAAGAGATAAAAGCAAAATGATGCATTTGGTTGCTTACATGTCGTCAGAAAAATTCTCAAAAACCCCACATTCTCACCTATTTACAGTTATCAGAAAAAGACCTCACAAAGCACGATTCTGTTAAATCCCTGTTCATGATACATAGAAGACCATTCAGATAATTTGACACACATTGTAGAGCTAAAATGCCACCAGAATTCCAATTTTCAACTTTTACTTTAAATTAAATATGTGCTTTCTTCATCTGTGTAAGTATACCGAAGAGCAAGCTGTGGCAGGTCTCTTTCTGAAGTACTATGTGACCACTGTCAGAAAAAGATTAATGGAGTAGAAGCTCCATTATTTCTTTTATTAATGTACTACTCCAGCATACATTTTCCAGTTCCCAAACGCTCCCAGAAGTCAGATCCTATATTCTTGATTCCTGACTTCTACAATTAGCTAAGCATTTTTAAAAATTTCTCTCTAATGAGGACATCATTACAGGTATATATGTCACACATACAAATACTAGTTAGGGGAGCTCAAATTTGTCAAATTTTATTGGTATGATTACTGATGTAAACACATTATTTCCATGAGAGAAACACTGAAAACCTTCAAGATAGAAAAGTCTGTGTTATAATGTATTATATTTAATGTGGAATAAAACAGTATTTTTGCTCTTCTGATGTATTTACAAGACCTGCAAAACAAAACATAACAGGTGAAAAAAACTGGTTTGTGAGGCTATTCACCCGTTATACTTCAGTCTGAATCTCGCAGTACAATATTTAGCATAACACTTCTGGTTTTAGCATTTACATGTACATTTCTAATCAGCAAGGTGGTTTGCTAAGACCTGAATTGAAATACAGAATGTAGCTTTTTCAAATGCTTAATATCATAGACAACTTTATACTGAAAAAAAGTAATGGAGAAAAACATTCCTGAATAATCCAGTTTACATGCTGCTGTTATCTTCCTTTCGTTTCTAGTCTGAAATCTTTTTTCGTTTACTATTCCACAATCATGGTCAGGAATCAGACCATCAACTTAAATCTTAGAATTATGGAAAACAAATCTCTTAAGTATTCCAATAATGCTTCACAATTTAACTATCCTTATATCAGTCAAAAACATATAAAAAAATTAAGAACTACTTTCAGACTGAGTGGAAAGAAACTGCTTAAGTTTATCCCACCAAAAAATAAGGAGTAGATAAATACTAATCATACACAGCTCTCAGCTGCCATATATAAGTGTGACAACCAAATCTACCTCTCTAACCAAGTAATTCACGATTAAAGTCTGTACCCAGCTACTGAGGGGATGTAGAATGCAATAACATAAATTTCTTCAAAAGTACTCTGAAAACCTTAGCTGTGGAACAACTTCATCAGTTATTTTCAGTAAGTGAACAAAGTATGCTATTTTTTTAATGCTGTGAAAAATTACAGGATGTTAAAAACCACAAGTATAAAAAATGAAGATATATTATAGGGAGCATAGCTAAACATTATGAAATGATTGTTTAATATAATCCAAATGTCCAGCATTCAAAGCTATGAATAATTTCTGATATGCTTTCAGATGTAGGTTATGTTTAAAATAGATCACAATAACAATCCTAACATCTGAATAATTCAAAATGATCAGTGCACTTAAAACCTAAAATACTACATTTACAGTTAATAAATCTAATATGTATTGGTCTTAATTATGTTCAAAATGGCTATTTTGGTCTTTAAAGTAACACTATTGTCTCTGATGAATTCACAGGCAGTTATTTTAAAAAATGTATCTACACATATTTTAAACTAAAAATAATAGTAAGTTTTCTGAAATTGATAAAAAGGTACTTCTAACACAATAGCAGCACTAACTAAAATATCACATTAAGTAAAGAACAAACCCTTCCATAATGACAAAATGTTGAAAGTTCAAGAATACAATAATTATTTTACCAGTTGGCAATTTATACCTGCAATCATGTCGTCCACAGTACTCATCTTCAGCAGTACCTGTTCAATTAAGCCAACTTCCGTGCTAGTCTGTAAATTACGGACACTTTTACGTAGAATTGCTGTGAACATACTCCAGATTTCTGCTTGGCACGTTACATCACAGTGCTCCAAAAGCTCTGACATGCATGTAATGCTCTCTGCATCCTGGATTATAAAGTTCATCTCTAGATCAAATTCACCACCAACCAGCTACAAAAGAAAACAAGAATAGCATTACAATGTGAAATACATAGTTTAGTGTCTTTCATACCTTCATTGTGACTAACACTGAATATTTTTTGTGTGATGGTAGAGGTAATTTTGATAGAGAAACTCACAGCCTCTATCCAAAAGACAGCAAACTAACAGTCATACTACGCAAAACATAGCTTGTAAAAATATACACACTAATAAAATAAAATATTACCTTCAATTTTGTCATAGTGTTGAATACAACACTTTCATAAAATAAAATCAAAAGATATTGCGAATATTCCTTCCTATGAAGTAACTGAAATGGTACCCTGGCCCAGAGAGATGTAGTGCAGAAGGTGCAGAACTTGAAAGGCTCAAAAGCAACTTAAGCTTTCCTACAGTTCTCTGAAATTTGCCTAGTCAGAAATAAAAAGACACTGAAAATAACTAAGTTTTCTCCTGATATAAGCCAACATTTGTCCTTAATTATGTGTTTGCAAGACCTCACTGTCCTTTCCATTGTACCACCACAATAGTCAAGCAGCTATGCTCAGAAAAGGAATCAGTGATCTGCTCTGGACCACAGCAGACACAGAAAACTTGCTTAATTATACCACAGAGCAGTTATCGTATGGCCAAGGAAACCTACTGCTGGTGCAAGGAGAGACAGCACAGGGAGAGGAACAAGCACTCAGATGAAAAGTGGTTTAACAGCAGTACTGACGAAATCACTGCCTGACTCCTACCTACTCAGATACTTGCAAAATGCTATCCAATGTCTTGAGCTCCAATTAAATAGCACAACTACCAGGCATGTTTAAGGGGCTGGGGGGAATGGAAATTAGTAAGAATTTGCAAAAGATATAGTCAAGACCAGGTATATCTTAAGGAATGCAATTCACCGATTTCAATCTGTCACTTGTGTAACTTAAAAAAGATTGACTCAAAACACCTTACTGAACTGACAATACATCTTATTTTTTAAAAAATAATCCACTTTTAATGGCAGAAACCAAGCCTTACTCTTATACATTCTACTTTATCCCAGTAAACTTGAAGTTTTAGAATCATAGAATGGTTTTGGTTAGAAAGGAACTTAAAGATCATCTAGTCCAACTCCTTTTGAAAGAACCAATGTTAAATTTCAGTAACTGGAAATATATTACCTAATTCAGAAAGGTAAGAGAAAAAATTAATTCTAAAATAATTTTAAGAAATTATTTTCTATTTGCTTTAGGAAGTTACATAATTAAATTTGCAATACTATGTTCCAAATTAAATATATTCAAATAATTCATCTCTTATAAGTGCATGACTTCAACAATCACTTTTAACAGAAGGCTATTTCATAGCCTTTTTAAAAGCAGTTGGTATTGCCTTCAAATTTATTTCCAAACAAGAAGCAAGCTGAAATATTATGCAACTTTTTTTTTGGTGGTTAAATCTATTCAAATATTCAAAGTCTTCTTTCAAACACAGTCTTCAGGCAAAATTAACAAATTAATAACACTAGCTCTAGCTTCTACCTTAATTCATAATTTTCATTCACTTACAAATTACTTTATCAATTAAATGCTAATATCCAATTTATATTTTTCTAACATAAAAACTTCTAATATACTAAATATATAAACTGACTACCTCCTTAGTTCCCCTGAGACATTTAATTACATTCAAATAAAACTATTATCCTAATTGTGATTAGTATTTTAGTTTAGAACTTGGGACTGCATCTCATATATTTGCATATTTGGTAAACACATAATGTGTACCAAGGGTAAGGAAACCGTCAAAATCAGAAGAGTATTTCTGTGGTCATTTTTTAGAATCGTGAAATAGTTTTACATGGGAAAACCAGGTGGAGTTTGTTTCTGAAAACAGTAGTAACTGGTGCATGCCTCACCAGCAATCTGGGTTGTTTTTTGAGATCTCTCTCCACCTGGATGAGCCTCTCTCAGATTATGTCAAAAACACAGAAGTAAAACAGGCACTTGCAGAAGACATTCAGTTAAACTCTTCTAGATGTTTAACCTAAGATGAACCAAAGCACCTTCTGGAACTGTCTACCTCATTCCATTGCTTTCCATGCAGGATATCTAAGATGAGAAGTCGTATTTGTGGAGTCTCCATCCCTGGATGCATTGAAAAGCCCTCTGGACATAGAACTGGACAACTGGCTCCAGTTAGCCCTGCTTGTGCAGGAGGGTTGGATCAGAGAACCTCCAGAGATCCCTTCCAATCTCAACAGTTCTATGATAATCATGGAGTTGTTTAAGTTGGAAAAGACCTTTAAGATCATTGAGTCCAGTCATTAACTTAGCATTGCCATGTCCATATACACAGTTTTCAGATACCTAATTTAAGTGAGATGAATCCCACTGTTTGCTTTTGTTAACAGACGGACCTAAATCAAGGAAAAAAACTAGTAATACCTCAGCTGGAATGCAGAGGGTGAATACAGACTGGTCCCCTCTTCCTCCAACACTATCCATTGTAAAATTCTTCCTAATATAAATTAATAAACTAACACAGAATAATTAAAACAGACTAGAATAAGTCACAGCAGACTAAAATAATTCAAATTGTAATTGCTTGCTAATGTAAATTAATATACTAATATGTAATATTTAAAAGACTGAAACAGCACACTGTATGAGTGTGAAGTGATTGGATATTTCGGTATTACTAAAAAACAAGCTGTCAAAGAAAACATCTCAGTGAACCTGCATCAGAAATTACACTGAATGCTAATAAAATTTGTTTAATGGAGAAACTTCTACTGGACTACAGACTATCCAGTAGGTACTACAATTATTTTACTTGTCCATTTGGCAGCAAAAGATTTATAGTCCATCAGAGTGACTGCTCATTTCACCAAAGAAAACATTAAAATATACCTGATTTTCCTTTAAGTAGAATTTACGCATATTTCAGCCACTAACAATAATCATAACTATCATTAAAATAAACTTCCTCAATACAGGAAACAAATAAATGAACTAATTAACTATGATTACAAAGATTTAAGAAGGTGAGGGAAGGGTTACTTTTTAAAAGTAGACATGCTAAGAATGAACATAAATTAAAAATATTAATAATCATGCTAAGAAAAAGTCTAAGAAGACAAGGAAAATCTAAATAAAAATGAAGAGAGTACACAGAAATAAATGACCATGGGTAAATGGTCAAGAAGTAATTCAAGAAGTAATACAAAGCAACAACTTCTGCTTTAAAATGGGAAAAATAAAATATAATTCTGCCAAGAAAAGAAGCAGAACATTCACTACAAAAGAAACAATTCTCTAACAACATTTCTGCACCTGCATTTCCCAAGCAAAGGACAGTAGGTAAAGAGGAATAACCAGTCTCCACAGCAGAGGGAGGTTATCAGTGGAGAATCACAGTGATAATGAGCTGGTAACAAGTGCAGACACTAAAGAAATCACAAAGTTCGCTCAAGAGCCAAAAATCATTAAATGTAGTTTAAAAACACCAACTACTGCGAACTGCAAAGATTTTTCTGTTATCAAGTGATCAATCAACAACATGTAAGAGTTCAAAGTTAGTAATACCACATTATTTTAGTTTTACCCATAGGTACAAAATGACAGGTTCTCAAATCTGTTATTATCAGCCAGAAAAGAGATCTTGGACTTGCTGTGCACTTTAAATAACAATGGCATATTAAAAACTGTTAGTAGGCAACTGTAAAAATTCAGAACCAATCTGCAATTTTATAACCTGGCTACAATTCTGGATGCAATACCACCCGCAAAAAAGTTAAATCACACTGTAACTTATCTTTAATGTAACATGTGGAAGACTTCTGTAATAAGACAAATTTCAGCTACAGTACAGTATGAACATAAAGATAGAAATCCTTACATGAGCGAGTATACTATACTGCAAATCAGTGCTCTTTCTGTATCATAGATCTCAAATACAATCTTTTTTCTTATGTCAAACACTCAGTCTTACTTTGCATTCTTCAAGTGAACATTTAACATTCAGTAAAGACCATGCTTTCACTGTGATTAAGTATCCTGAGTTATTACTTGTACTTTATCAAGCTCATGCATCACTTTTTAACTATTCTGCATCTTTCACAGCACAGCTGTAAAAAATGAAGCCGCAAACTAATGTTCATATCATGGTTCCAAGTCAGATGAATAAGGCCAGCAAATATAACTTCTGAAGAAGTACTGAACTGGTAGCTATAAGCAAATTGGACTATCTTCCCTATCCTGAGGTTATTTACAGTGACAGGTTGACACTGCTTGCAAATTGCTCCAAGAACCTTAACGCACACCATCATCCCCAAAAGCCACTGCAGTACACAGACTCTCCATTTTTCTGAATACTGTGTCCATTCTTCAGTAATCTTCTGCCATTCATTATGCTATGCAACAAAACTGTTTCTTTCTAAACTGCTGCATCTATGCAGAACTTGGACTGGTCTTTTATGTCTTTTTGAGCTAGAACAGAGGTGAAATACTCCTCCAAAATAGAAAATTTGTCTACATGTATCTGATAGTATATTCCAATCAGTTCTCAAAGTGGAGTAAAATATGTGCTGCTGAAAACCTAGTACTAAATTGTTTATATGTGAAAACTGGAATTCTTCAGAATCAGATTTTTCAAGTCAAGTTCTGAAGAATGGATTGAAATGAAGAAAGAACAGAATAGGTAGCTACAGTTGGAAGCTAAAATGATCATGTAGCCCAACTGCTTGACCACCTCAGTGCTGATCAAAAATTAAAGCACGTTATTGAGGGTAATGTCTGAATGTCTCTTAAACACTGACAGGCTTGGGGCATCGACCACCTTTCTAGGAAGCCTGTTCCAGTGTTTGACCACCCTCTTGGTAAAGAAATGCTTCCTAATCAGAGAATGGTTTGGGTTGGAAGGAACCTTATATCCAGTCTATATCTCCTCCCATGGCGCAGCTTTTAACCATTCCCATGCATCCTATCACTGGATACCAGGGAAAAGAGCTCAGCACTTCCCTCTCCATTTCTCTTCCTCAAGAAGCTGTAGAGAGCAATGAGGTCACCCTTCAGCCTCCTTTTCGCCAAGAACAGA